GACGCGAGAACGTCGGTTTTTTAACGTGAATTACCTCGGCAAGGTCGAATTGTTCCTGCATCAATTCAGCAATGCGGTCGAGGAAGATATCGCTGCCGTTTTTCGTGATGTTCAGTAAGCCCATCACTTTTCCATCAAGGCTATTAAGCCGCGGCGCGAGAAATTTCGCAGATACATCGCCTTGAGAGGTTGGATCGAGTAAAGTAGTATTTGGCATAGAAAACCTCAACAGTAAGAGATTAGGTAGATGAACGGGACGTTTCCATCTGCAACTCCTGCGACTTTGCCATCGCATCTTCTGCTTCTTGGATCATCCCTTTTCGTTGGTAACACATAGATAGACTGGTATATACAAGCGGATCCTTCGGGTTGATTTCTATCGCCTTCTGGATCGCCTCAATGGCTTCATCGTATAGACTCATCCGTTCGTATGCGTGTCCCAGCCCAAGGTATCCTTCGATATAGTCTGGGTAAATCTCAATCAATTCTTTAAAAGCATTAACAGCCGCTTCGAGGTCGTTTTCAGCAAAATGAGTGAGCGCGGCATCGTAAAGTTCCGCTTCGGTCAGCATCTTTTACGTCCTTAGGGGTGAAGGTTTAACAAAATTCTATCAGAAAAGGCAGTAAATGTCAAAGATAAAATAGTTCTGAAAAATCGATTGCATACCGAGCCATTTTGGGATATGCTATGCGTATATCCTTTGTTAATCTTATTGAGGAGTCCCGAAGTTTGCGCAATTACGCTGAAGTTACTGAACGCTTAAAAAACTTAGATGTGCCAATAGAATTACTCGGCACCGCCCACAATTACTCGATATATCAGATCCGCTTAACGGCTTCGGTGGATACACCAAAACACGTTCTTATCACTGGTGGTATGCACGGCGACGAACCCGCCGGTGTCGAGGCGGTTCTACAGTTCCTTGAGCGTGATAGCACCGCACTCCTGAAAAACTTCTCGTTTTTAGTGATCCCGTGCATCAATCCCTACGGTTACGTTCATAACACGCGTGAGACGCTTAACGGCATAGACATCAATCGCGCTTTTGAAACAGAAGATGTTGCCGAAGTCGCTATCGTCAAAAAAGCCCTCGGTAAGACCCAATTCTCGCTTGCCATAGACTTTCATGAAGACTACGATGCCACCGGATTTTACCTCTATGAGGGCAAACGGGACGAGAAATACATCGGTCCCAAACTCGCCGTCGCTGCCAAAGCGATTGGCTCAATAGATCCCGAGGATTCGGGTGAAGATGCCCCCGATCTTGCTGAAGGTGTCTACAAAGTTGCTACCTCGTGGGGAACGCAAGGCTTGGCACCTTACCTATTGCATTTTCATAGTGAGCATGTTATCATCTCTGAGACACCAACAGTCTGGCACCTTGAACAACGCGCAGCACTTCATTTGACAATACTGGATACCGCGCTAAACATCATATCGGAAAAGGAAGAATAAATGGAACAGATATTATCGAATGTCAATACCGCCTCCCAGCCTTCAGCACTAAAAATCACGGACATGCGCATCGTCCGAACCCAAACAGGCGGTCCCATCTTGAAACTGGACACAAACCAAGGCATTCACGGCCTCGGTGAGGTCCGCGATGGTGCGAGTCCGACGTATGCACTGATGCTCAAAAGCCGTATTATCGGCGAAAATCCGTGTAACGTTGATAAAATCTTTAGACAGATTAAGCAGTTCGGCCACCACGCACGGCAAGGCGGCGGTGTCTGCGGTATTGAAATGGCACTGATGGATCTCGCTGGTAAGGCTTACGGCGTGCCGTGCTATCAACTCGCTGGCGGCAAATTCCGAGACAAAATCCGATGCTATAGCGATACCCCTTCACTCAGAGATGCAGAAGAGATGGGTAACAAACTCCAAGAACGCATTGATAGCGGTTTTACCTTTCTAAAAATGGACATCGGTGTGGGCTGCTTCGCGGAACTCCCGGCACAATCTCCGCACCGGCGGGAAATTTAGAAACCTCTAACCTGATGCACCCCTTTACCGGTATCCGCCTGACGGAAAAAGGTATCAGTATACTGTGCGAATACGTAGAAACGGTTCGGGGCATTATCGGTTATGAGATACCGCTCTCGGTAGATCATTTTGGGCATATCTGTATTGAGGACTGTATCCGTCTCGCGAGGGCATTGGAGAAATACAATCTCGCGTGGCTGGAGGATATGGTGCCGTGGGAATATACCGACCAGTATGTCCGTCTCTCTAATTCGTGCGCGACACCGATTGCACAGGTGAGGACATCTACTGCAAAGAGGACTTTATGCCGCTGTTTGAGAGCCGAGGGATCGCCGTAGCGCACCCCGATATTGCGACATCGGGCGGGATTTTAGAGACGAAGAAGATTGGCGATCTGGCGGAAGAACACGGCATTGCGATGGCACTCCACATGGCAGGGACACCTGTCTGTGCAATGGCGAGCGTCCACTGCGCCGCCGCGACATCCAACTTTATGGTTTTGGAAAATCACTCTGTTGACAATCCGTGGTGGGATGAAATGGTGACAGGCTTACCGAACCCGATTATTCAAGACGGTTATATCATGTTCCAGATACCCCGCTTAGGTATCGACCTTACGAAGATGGGTGATCCGCGAACATTTGCATTCAGAGGAGACAGACTACTTCGCGCCGACAACAGAATGGGATTCGGAACGTTCCCACGATAGACTGTGGAGTTAAGTCTTATTTACAAGGGCGGATTCTCACATCCGCCCAACCTCTACACCCTTACTGTCCGAACTGGTTTGCCACAGCAACCAAATCCAAAACATTGACAACGCCATCGCCATTCACATCTGGTGCATTTTCTCCAAATCCACTGGCAACCGCCACTAAATCCAGAATGTTAACAATACCGTCCTCATTGACATCATGTCTGTCGGTTGTTCTTTTCAGGTAGATTTCGCCATCCAAAGTCGGAGACGATGTGAAGCTGTATTTCGCACACCACTCCCTACACCCGTTACCTGCTCCAGTAGGCGAATTTCTTGCGGCTTTCCGCTGCGGTTGTAAACCGCCCAGCCGTTAGCGAACTCCCGGATGAACAAACCATCTCGGTTTTCGTAGAGTTGTGCTTTCTCTCAAGGTGTGCGAGGGTCGCATCCCAAAAGTCATACCAATAGTGGTCGTGATGATGATTGTGTTCTCTGCCTCGATCATGTTCTTCTTTGTGGGCTATCTCGAAAACGTTCCAATCATGCTCATGGATGGGGTGTCTAATTCCTGTGATGTAGAGCACATATCCATCGGAATGCGTCAAGCCCATTGTCGTGAATACGCGCATCCAGCGGAGGTTAGTTAAACTGTCAGGTAGTTCTGCTTCAACACCCCAACCTTCTAAACAATTTACCTGAGGTGAACGCAGGTTTTCTTCTGCCCAAAATAGGGTGCTTTCGATCTCCATCAATCCTGCACGTGTGTAACCACCATCATGATCACGCACCGTTTCCATAAAAAGTCCATTGATGTAAGGAGCCGCTCTCATCGGTTTATGACGATTTGGATTCACTACTATCAGAAAATCATCTCCTACCTCAGCACGGATGCGTTTAAGAATTATATCTCGTGCTTGTTGTTCTGCTAACAATCCGCGGTATATTTCATCAGTTTGAAAGTTTCTAAGTATAGCCCAGTCCTCAGACCACCAATCTAGGAAAATCCCATCATACAATCCACACCTTGCCACCGCGATTGCTTTCGGATCTGGCATCCACTCTTCCTCTGCTGAGGAGATGCAGCAAGATATCATGAACACAATAAAAATACACAAGCAGAATCTATAAACCTGTTTCATGGTATCACTCTACGGAATGACAGCAACATAAAACCTGCGAGTGTCCTGATACATCTGATGTATACACAACAGCCGTTTCATCAGGACTAAAGGACGGGTGCGGGTGCGTCCATTGCGGTCCGTAGACGGTATCCACCTTCATCTCCATCCAACTGAGGGCTTTCTCTCTGTCACCTGATTGTTGTGCCGCTGCCCAATCCTCTGCGAGCGCATAACGAGCAGTTTTCCACTGACTCCCACTGGATGAGCTTTGTGGATAACAGATGGGCGTATGTTCGCCTGTCTCCACCTCAATAAGCCGCAAACCTATGTCGGGATGGACGGTGTCGCACAATACTTTCGTCCCGTCGCGATTGCTGGCGATGTGCCACGCGTTGAAATCGGCAACCGTCTGCATCTGTAGGGTCCCCAAAGACATCCGCCGAAGCGAGTATGGCCAATGCGTCACAATCAGTTCGTCCCGCGCACCGAGAAAGGTCTCGTGGACGAGAAACTCGTTGTTATCATGTTGATAGAGCGAAAGGTTTTCTGTGCCGTCCCGTTTGATAGTCCACATCCGGGGTGCTGGATCACCAGAGTAGGCAATTAAATCGGGGTGTTTCGGATGAAATTGCGGGTGGATAATCGTCTGATCAGGGGACGTATAGATAACATCGCCACCGCTGCCATCGGTAGCGGTTCACAGTAATGTGTGATTTGTCGTCGCGCTTCATCGCTGTTACGATATACCGTTCGTCTGCACTGACGCTGCACTCGCCAAGACTTCCACCGGGAAATTCTGCAAGCACGCGCTCCTCAAATGTATCAAGATGAATCGCCTTTATAGCGTTTGCTTGCGTGTAAAAGAGTTCAGTCCCGTCTTTGGAGATAACACCGGAGTAGCCGTGGATATCATCGGCATCCGTCAACTGTACAATATCGCCATTGGGGAATTCCAGTTTGAAAAAATTCGGTTTCCCTGAACGGTAGGAGGTAAAGATGAGGTGTCCTTGGTCGCGGTGAACGAAGAGGTCAGGAAGTAGAGATTGTGGTTAATAGAGGTATCGTTTGTGAGTTGATAGATATGCGCGCCCGTCTGGCTGTCTTGGAATTCGCGTCAGTTCTGAAGGATGAACGGACGCTTTGGCGTAGTTTTGTCATAGTAAATTCCTCGTGAGTCTGTTTATGAGAATAGTAATAGGCATACTCCGTTATGCCGTAACCAGAGTCTATAGACTGAACAGATAGTTCAGCAACTGGGTTCCCTCTCGAAAATCACGGATGATAATGTCCGCACCGGCACGAATCAGACGTTCCCGTTTATCGGCGTTCATATTGTACATATTTTCCTCTACAGACGCAACACCAACAGCGATTGCGCCTACCGATTTTGCATTTTCGATCTCCACGTACCCATCCCCGACGATGAGCAATTCATTCCCACTGAGTTCAAAATCTGTGATGATTTTCTGGATAACCATGGCTTTGGAGAACTTCTGATATTCCCGCAATGCACCGAAAATCCCACCGTCAAAGTATTCCGCAACACCGAGGAGTCCGATGCTTCGTTTTTGACGAATTCAACATCCGTCCCGCTGGCGAGATAGCAGTTTATCCCCATCTCACGCAGGCTTTGGAGAAATTCGAGTGACATCGGCACGCGGAGGGGTTCGGCAGACAACGTCCCCGCGGCAAGTTTCTGCAATCCGTTCTTCAACGACAGGCAGCAGTCGACGGTTATATTCGTCTTTATACGCAAGCGGTTCCTTCGGTGTTCCGCCGCGTTTCTCGATCTCTTCGCTTAGCTGCATCATCTGATAGATCGTCTGCTTACCGGTTAGCCTATCCACAAAGTCAACGACAAGTGTTTCAAGTTGTTCTGAGGTTTCGGTCGTATCCGTTTCTGTCTGGAGGCATTCGATCATCATCGGGACCATTACATTCTGCCAACCGTCTCGGATGAGGGAGATTGTCCCATCGAAATCCAAGACAACATGACGGATATTCCCGGTTTGAATCCCACGATGGATTTCGATTGTAGTGTTGTCCAAAAAAGTGTTTTGCATAGTTATCCTAAAATTGGCTATTGGCTACCGGCTTTCAGAAGCAGCGTATCTAAATCCCTACACTTCAGCGGGTGCTATATAGAAAACTGACCGCTGACCGCCGACAGCCATTAAAAAGGCGTTGATCCCTCTGTTCTTTTGTGATAGTATAATGGCATTGGGATAGTTAAGCAAGCCTTTTCAGCGTAGCTTGCAAGCAGAAACTTGTCGTAAAAAGAGCACAGCAGGAAATATAACGGGTGAACGAAAAAGAGCCAAGATACATGAATGATGGCAAAAAAATTCAACGCATCGAAATATTTACCAATCGCTTGGTGAACACCGTCTTTGCGGGGGAGTATGAAAGCGTCTTCAAAGGGCAAGGGATTACCTTTGACGAGGTCCGGGAATATCAGACAGGCGATGAGATCCGTACGATCGATTGGAATGTCACCGCACGCATGGGACAAGCCTACATCAAGAAGTACGTGGAAGAGCGTGAACTCGTCATGATGTTGGTTGTGGATATGAGTGCCTCGACCAGTTTCGGCAGTATCGCTGAGACGAAGGCAGAAATCGCTGCCGAAATTGTTGCGGCTCCTCGCCTTTTCTGCCATCAAAAACAACGACAAAGTTGGGCTTATCTGTTTTACGGACACCGTTGAGCATTTCGTCGCGCCACGTAAGGGGAAAAGGCACGTCTTACGCGTCGTTCGAGACATCCTTCATTTTCAGCCGAAACAACCCGGGACGAACATTGAAACGGCGTTGGCGTTCGCCGATCGGGTGCTCAAGCCGCACAGCGTTGTGTTTCTCATCTCGGATTTCAAAGATACGGGGTATGAAAAGCAGTTACGCTTGAGCAGTAAACGGCACTCGCTTATTGCTATTACCTTACAGGATAGGCGCGAGGTGGAATTGCCGGATGTCGGACTCATAGAACTGGAGGATGCTGAGAGTGGAGAGACAGTCGTTGTTGATACGCGCTCCGAGGAAGCACGGCACCTCTATACAGAACTTAATCAGCGTGCAGACGCGGAACGTCGACAAGTTTTCAGGGCAAATCAAGTGGATTCTATTCACATCAGAACAGATGAACCGTATGTGAAACCGCTTATCCAATTTTTCCGTCAGCGTACCGCCCGACGTTAAAATAAAATTCTGGTAGGCTTATGAGCAGATTAGAGGTAAAAAATTTAACACAAACCTTTAATCAGAAGAACACCGCATTGCGGGTCCTCGATGGTTTGAATTTCTCTGTTGATGATGGGCAGTTTGTCGCTTTGTTGGGTCCCTCTGGGTGTGGCAAAAGCACGCTTTTTAATATCGTTTCAGGGTTACTTGTACCAGACACTGGAGAAATTTATCTCAATGACGAGCGCATCTACGGCAACACGGGGGATTTCGCCTACATGCAGCAAAAGGACCTCCTTTTACCGTGGCGGACAGTCCTCAGGAACGTACTCATCGGTCCAGAAATTCACGACGAACCCCTGAATACCGCGAAGTGGAGGCGCAACAGCGTTTAGCACAACTCGGATTGAGCGGATTTGAAAATAGTTACCCGATGCAGCTTTCGGGAGGTATGCGGCAACGCGTCGCACTCGTCCGGACGCTTCTATTTCGGAAGGAAATTCTGCTTTTAGATGAACCCTTCGGCGCACTGGATGCAATGACTCGCACCGTCATGCAGTCTATTCTACTCGACATCTGGTCAGAGAACCGACAGACCGTTTTGCTCATCACCCACGATGTTGAGGAAGCTCTTCTACTTGCGGATAAAATCTACGTACTGACAGCCAGACCTGCAACGCTAAAAGCAGAGGTCCCTGTTCCATTGCCCCGTCCTCGGAACATCACGGACACCTCCCTCATTCGCTTGAAGAAGGAACTTTTAACGTTATTACAGGTCGAAATGTCAAAGGTTTTTGATGCAGGCTAACGACACCTGTGGGAGGGGTTTGTAACCCCGAGCTGTCTCAGAAGCCCTTGTGGAAGGGGTTGTAACCCCGACTTTTTCACCCTATTCCGCGTCTGAGTCCTTTGTCAATGTTCGCCAAAATGAACGCGAGGGACGGTTCATGTTGTCAAACATCTCGTAATTCCCTTTTTCACAGAATTCGTAGAGTGCTTCTGTTAGCGGAATTTCAAACCCAGAGGCTTCCGCAGCTGCGAGGAAATAGGGCAATTCAGGATATTTGATGACGAGTGTCGGACCTTCTCCATCGATTATGCGTTCGGCGATTCTATCGAACTGTCCACGCCAACCATCCCCCATACCGACTGCTTCGCGAATTGCGATTGGATCCACGCCTGCACAGACTCCAAAAGCCATCGCCTCCATGAACGCTGCGTCACCAAGTCCCATTGCCAATTGATTCACGCCTTTAACGATCTGCCCAGAACCGCTCGGACCGCAGTATACCACGTATTTCGGTTCCCCGAGGACTTCTAAAATCGGGCGATATTTTTCGACAACCGATGCAGCGCCACCGACAAAGATACGGAGTGTCCCTGTTTCCGATCCGTGCGGTCCGCCGCTTACTGGCGCGTCTATGAGGGCAGATCCCTTTTCAGCAAACACTGTCGCCAAATCCCGTGTCTTTTCTACTTCTGTTGTGCCTAAATCAACAAAGACGTGACCATCGCGAGCGTTAGGGATTAGGTGTTGTTCTGCGACGCTGCAAAAAACATCGGAGGAACGCAAACTGGTCATAATGACATCGCTATTTTTGACAACCTCAGCAGTATCTTGACATGCAGCCGCACCTGCCGCATCGAGTGCTGCGCATTTTGCGGCATCAATATCATATCCGATGAGCGGATACCCGGCGCTGTGAGATTCTTCGCCATCCGTCCGCCCATGTTGCCGAGTCCAATAAAACCGATTCTGGGAATTTTTAATTTTTCCTTGCGGTTAAATTTCATGCGTTTAAACTCCTGTGTGCGTTCCTCAAATCCGCACTCCAAATGTAAAGCAAAGACAAATTATGCCATTTAAGGCATAATTTCATTACGTGCTATGGGTTTTGATGTCACTGCCGCACATATCCTTACCTCAGTCTCGACTTAAGCAGAAACTTGCTCGTAATGAAGCTGAGAGCAACCCAAGGTGCCCATAGTAAAAACGATTACCCTACCGTTGGTGTCATCGTCCATGCGTCTAAACTGTTAAAATTGCCTCACCGCCGTGTGCGAAAATTGAGACACCGAGACTGTCTGCTCGCGTCGGATAGATACGCTGGGTTAGACACAACCGACTGTTAACAAAAACTTCCAGCACCGAGCGATCTAAGAAGACACGGAGCTTTAAAGATTCCCCTTCAACCAGTTTGAAGGGTGCCTCCTGTGAATTTGTATAACGTTCTCCGCCGTCTTCGTCCTGTGGTGTCAGGCGCGGATATTTTACTTCATCATCCAAAGTTGATTTCGCGAGATCAATTTTAAGAAGTTCATCGGTTGGTAAGTGGACAATAGCGGTTTCTTCCTCGCCATCTGGGGACCTGCGAACCTTCACACCGAATTCTGTAGCATCTCTCGGATCGATTTCCATCCGTATTTCAAGACAATCGCCATTTACTTCTTCAATATCGATCTCCGTATCAGCCTTGAGTTGAATCGTTTCTTGATGGTAATGCTTGGTGCGGAGTTTTTCGAGTTCTGGAACGGGTTCAATACGGAGACTTCCACCTTCACTCAGCGATAGGATCCGCGGCAACGTCATCACGGAAGCCCATCCATATTTCTCCCACGGTCGAGCTTCGCGAATCCAACCGAAAAAGATGCGTCGCCCTTTGTCATCAAGGAGCGTTTCGGGGCCAGAGAGTTGTCCGCCTTGCCAGTTCATACGTCCGTGTATTTCAGGATAGAACTGCTCATCTTCGTAACGTCCGAGGTAATAATGTGCCATACCGTAAGGACGGTGCCCGTGCATCAGAAGCATATATTTGTCGCCAAGCGGAAAAAAATCGGGACAGGCGCAATCTTCAACCTCATCCGTCCAACGACGCGAAGATTTGTAGAATGGACCGAGGTATTCCCACTGAATACAGTCGTCCGAACGGAAAAGGCTGGTAGCGTCGCCTTGGTATCCCGATCGGGTGTTTTTGTTGCCTATGAGTGCATAAAAGGTGCCATTTTCATACCAAGCACACGGGTCAAAAACGTGGTACTCTTGCGGTTCGTCTGGTATCGGAATGACCGGATTTTCAGGTGAGGGGGTCCAGTGGATCAAATCGTCGTCTTCGCTGGTTGCGATGCAGGTGCCTTGATTCGGCACGTGATAAATAAACGTTGGAAGCGGCGCGTTCTCAATAGCATCTCCGCTATATATGCCGCGTGGCATTGATCCGTCAGTGGCGGGTTTTATCGCCGGTGGGTGGTGTATCCAATGCACCAGATCACAGCTGGAGGAGTGATCGAGCACCGGCAGCCATTCATCTGCGTTTGGATTTGGCATCCGCCCAAGATAAAAGACGTGGTATCGCCCATTCCAAAAAATGGTACAGTTTGCATCATTGAAAAATCCGTCGGGAGGGATCAGATGATAGCGCGGTCGGTGCGGGTCTGCTGAGAGGTATTCTCGCAATTCACGCGCATTCCCGATGTGTTTATGAAGGTCTTCAATCGTAATTGCTGAATTCATTTGCCGTGAACTCTCCTCAATCTTCGGTACTGCTTGCGGGTCTCCAGAAATTTGATATTCAAAAGCTCGTTGTTTCAAATGCAGAATACAGTATCAGAGTATAGCATGCTGAGAGAGAAGCAACAAGAGAAATCGAGATACGTCAAACCTGTTTGGATGTATCTATGAAAACGTTTTTTCTTGAGGTTTTTTATGGGGTTTGGTATACTGCCCTAACTGGTTTCTTTATGGCGTTGATAACGTTATTGTTGCCACGCCCGAACATGAAGCGGAGATATTTGCAGACAACTTTGATCCACACGGACTTGCCGTTCAGCCTGAAGGAAAACTCGCGACGACGTGGGGACACTTGAGATTGAAGAGTTGGTAAACAGAAAGGATTTAGTCATGACAAAATGTGCACTTATCAGCGGTAGAGGTATGGGGTTGATGCACGGTGGAAACTTCCACAACCATCCAGACGCGGAAGTGGTCGCGGTGTGCGACATGGACCCGGAACTCCTTGCGAAAGCGGGAGAGCAGTTTAGGGTACCCGGGTATCCAACAATTGAGGAACTCTTGGCAAATTGTGATGTGGATCTTGTGCTTCTCATTGTTAATGAGACTCGGCGCATCCCGCCGCTGCATCAGTTGCTTAAAGCCGGACAGAATGTGTTCACAGAGAAACCTCTCTGTGGATTGGAGGGACAAGATCGATTGCGTGAGGAAGACCTCCAAATTGCGGCACCTGCTATCGCAACGTGGCGCGACTCTCATCTAAAATTCGGGATCGATTTCAACTACCGATTTATGCACCATTTTCGTAAACTGCATGATGATGTTGCCGAAAATCGGTTGGGTGAGATCAAAATGGTACACGCCCGTGCCCATTTCAACTGTTGGTCCCATGTTATAGATCAGATCCTCTGGACGGTAGGGAGACCCGAATGGGTGAGTGTTGTCGGGGATCCGAATGAAGCCGGTGGTTGGGGACGTTTAATTCATATCGGCTGGGAGAATGGCATCATCGGTTCCCTTAGCGGCACAAACCTATGGGGTTACGACGATCATCCGCTTCGAGTTAAGGTTCTTGGCGATGAATTTTATGCCGAGGCAAAAGGGCTGGAGGGTTCGTACTGCCGGCGAAAAGTGAATAATTCTGAAATAGAGGAAGTCTGGGAAGCCGAGGCTGATAGTCCAGAGATGCCAGAGTCTTTCAAACGGATGGCTGATGGCGTGGTTAAAGCAATGCATGCCGACACACCCTTCCCCGCTGATGGTGAAGCGGCGTGGAACGAACTGCTCTTTGAGGCGGCAGTCCACAGGTCAGCCTTGCAGAACAATGCCCGCGTATTTCTGAAAGATGTTGAAGAAGAAGCAAGTGCCTAAGGAGATTACAGGCGCGGTTTTCAACCGCGCCTATATCTCACGGAAGGGTCCAACGTTTTAGGCAACACCGCCTTTGACAGCGATCTTAATCGCGTCCTTTCCGTCTAAGTGGTAACTGCCGTGAAGCGCGTCGAAACCTTTGGACACATCCTCTAACGGAAGAACATGGCTGACAAAACCTTCAAAGAGTGAGGCATGTTTCTCAAGCATCGGTATGGCGCGGATAAAATGCTTCCTCTCAAATCCCCATCCAGCCTCCAATCGAAGGTTTTTACGCATTAACATCTGGTTCGGATTACAATCAAAAGAGCCAACATCCACAAAGTGTCCATATACAACATAGGTTCCGCTATGCCTGATATAGTCTAGGCCTTCGGGAATAGCGGCGAGGAAGCCGGTGCATTCGTAGACAACATCCGCGCCGTTGCCTTGTGGTGTGTTTTCTCGGACAATCCGCTTTCGCTCTTCGGGATCTGGCACTTCGCTGATGTCAATTGTAAGATCCGCCCCTAACCTTTTCGCCATTTCAAGCCTTCCGGGGGGACCACCGACGACGATAAGTCTTCCGGCACCAGAGACTCTTGCCCAATTAAGCGCAAGAAGACCGATGGGACCGGTTCCTTGAATTACAACCGTGTCCCCGAATTCGATTTTGCCGCGTGACATACAGTGTGCGGCACAGGCAGCCGGTTCCGCGAGCACAGCGATTTCCGGTGGCAGATCGGTTTTAAGAAACATATTCGTTGACGGGTTTGAGAGGTAGATGTACTCACTGAAACCACCGCGCAGATACGGTGCTTCTTCTGCAGGAGAAAAACCGAGTCCTCCGCTGGGGGACAGCACGATCCTGTCGCCTACCTTGACTGGATTGCCGAGGTAGTCTGTTTCGACCCCTTCACCTAAAGTCTCTATCACGCCGACATTCTCGTGTCCGAGGATAATGTCGTGGTTGATATGCTGAAATTCCCAATTATGAAGGTCGGTGCCACAAATGCCACCTAACTCCTGACGCACGAGCACCGTACCGGGTGCAGGGTCAACTATCGGGTACTCTCGAACTTCAAAATCTTTGCCACTCATCACGGTGGCGCGTGCAGTTCTGGTTCCCATTACGAAACTCCTTTTTTAAGGCTATCAGTCTTCAGGGCGTTCGCTTTGCTCACTCTCAGTCCAGACTCGCCCACGCCTACTGACACAAAACTTTTGAAGCGCGTGGGAGAGTCTGAGTTAAGCGTATGACGGGTGAAAACGTCTTTACTACCACAAACATTTCTTGCTGACAGCCTATTGCTGAAAGCGAACGAAGCGAGCGTGCTGACTGCCATTTTGCTAATACATCCTCAACAAACCACCAGGAACATTAAGCAACTTTGACGATTATCTTGCCGAGTTTTTCACCTGTGAAAAGCGCGATAAACGCTTTTGGTGCATTTTCTAATCCCTCTATAATCGTCTCTTCCCATTGTATTTCACCTTCGGTTATCCACTGCTGCATATCGCTGTAAAATTCCGGATTCCGTTCCATGAAGTCGGTGACAATAAACCCTTGTAACCTGATCCGTTTACCGATAGCAGAACTGAGGTTTGTCGGACCTGGGGTAGGTTCAACATCGTTGTATTGCGAGATCATACCACACAGTGGGATACGTCCGTGCATATTCATCACTGCGAGCGCGGCTTGAAGGTGTCTGCCTCCCACGTTTTCAAAGTAGATGTCAAGTCCATCGGGACAGTGTTTCCTGAGTTCGGCTTCCAAGTCATCAACATTTTTATAGTTAAAAGCCGCATCGACACCAGCTTTCTCCAGTAGCCATGCGACTTTCTGATCGGAACCAACACTCGCAACGACTCGGCATCCTTTGATTTTGGCGATCTGGCACACGATTGAACCTACCGCCCCTGCTGCTGCGGAGACAAAAACCGTTTCTCCTGCCTTGGGCTGACCTATCTCCAGAAATCCGAAGTAGGCGGTACGTCCGGGCATACCGACAGCACCTAAAAACGACTGGAGCGGCGCGATCGTCAGATCTACAGCGGTCACGCTTTTTGCCGGTGCAATGTAATGATCTCGCCACCCCTGCATACCCGTCACATAATCCCCAACTTGAAACTGGTCGCTCTTCGATTCCACTATCCGACCGGCGCACCTGCCTTCTAAGGGTTTACCAAGTTCAGCGGACCGCATACCGCCGCGCATATACGGGTCTACTGACGTGTAAAGGTTTTCAACTAACACCTCTCCTGCTGAGGGTTCAGGGAGCGTCGCCTCAACGATTTCAAAATCACTTTCCTTGGGCATACCAATGATTCGATTCTTAAGGCGAATTTGTCGGCTTACAATGTTCGGCATTTTCTTCTCCTATCGGCTTACGATTTGATTGATTTAATTGGCATTGGTGCAATGATAGCATATCTGCGGAAAAAGTCAAGATTAGGGGTATTTGGTTTTAGAGAGACGGTTTTCAATTTTTGGTTTGTAATGTGTTAAATTTAAAGTTAAATTTAAATAGGTCAACCTTATTGGGTTGACTTTCGTTTTCTAATTAGGTTGAGGAGTTGCTTGAATTCTTACATTTTTCAGGAGGTTGCGCATGTGCCTTAAAACTTCAAAACTATTTTTAATATTCAACTTCTCAGCCTCGGGGCACGAAATACGCTTTGGAAGAATCATTCAAGGTAAAGCGTAGTTTATAACGTCCCACAATAAATCCAAATTTTTAAATAAACTTTTAATAGACAAACAATAATTTTCCAAATGAAAACGAAAAAAAATAAACACAACCCAAAAAGGGATTATTATCATGAAAAAGCAAGTTTTGACTCGAAAAAACATCGTGTCTGTTTTCACGGCATTATTATTCATTTACGGTATACATGGTGTGGGTTATGCGGAGCTGACGTTCACAGAAGGTGATACAACCACTCGCGAAATAGAAGAAAATACGCCTGCAGGCACAAACATTGGCGTATCATTGAGATATACCAGAGAGGAAGTCGAGAGCTGCTCCAGCGCGATACTTCGTGGTCCCGATGCAAGGGCATTCGACGTTGAGCGTGTCTTTCGCGGCATCCAGTTAAAAACCAAATCCGCATTGGACTATGAGACCAAGGACTCCTATGAAGTGAAGGTAATCATCTCATCTTCGGTTGGAGGCCACAGGGACACAATCACGGTGACAATTAATGTCACGAATGCCAACGAAGCACCGATGTTCGCTGAGGCTAACAGTGGAACGGATCGTATCTATCGCTCAATCCCAGAAAGTACAACGGCATGCACAAACATTGGGGACCCTGTATCGGCAATCGATCCTGATGGTTCCGATAACGCCTTGACATACAGTCTGGATGGTGCTAATGCTGGTATGTTTGAAATTGATAGTGGGATGGGTCAACTGAGAACTAAGGCACCACTCGATTATGAGGCATTTGAGAGCGAACCACGTGCCTATTTCATAAATGTTCGTGTCTTTGATGGGGCAATGTCTGCTGAAATTGAGGCACGCATTGATGTTGAACCCGTAAACGAATTCACGCCGATGTTCATAGAGGGGGACGCAGCAACCCGCGAGATACACGAAAAGGAAGCGGTAGGTGCGAATGTCGGAGCACCTGTATCAGCGACAGATATGGATATCGGTGAGACTTTGGAATATAGCCTCGACGACACAGATGCTGAGACGTTTGAGGTTGATAGCAGCACGGGTCAGTTAAGAACCAGATCACCATTGGATTATCAAACCAAACCGGTCTATACAGTGAAGGTATTAGCCTCGGATGGTAGTCGGGTGGGCAGCATTTTGGTTACTATTAATGTTTTGGCTGATGTTGTGGAAGTGCCAGATCCAGTCTTGGCAAGGACGATCCGTAGAAAACTCGGGTTAGGGGCAGGTGCCGATATCACGAAAAAGGCGATGTCAGAGTTAACGACACTAAATGCTAACAGACGCAAGCCAGAGATAAATAGTATCACTGGATTGGAACATGCGACAAACCTGACAACGCTAAATCTTGATTACAATAGCATCAACGACATCACGCCGCTTGCGAGTTTGACGAACCTGACAGCACTACTGATGGACGGTAATCGCGTCGATAGAATTATGCCGCTTGCGGGTTTGACGAACCTGACGACGCTACATCTCTCGGACAATCGGGTAGGTTATCTCGTACCCCTTGCAGGTCTGACGAATCTCACAGAGTTACATCTCACATACAATCGGATAGACAACCTCACACCACTTGAAGGTTTGACGAACTTAAGGACGTTACGTCTGGCGCACAATACCCGCCTTACGAATGTCAGACCCCTTGCAGGGTTAGTCAATCTTGAAACGTTAACACTTGAGGGATGTGCGGTTACGGATTTCACGCCGCTTGCTGACCTCACAGCAACTATTGATGTTCTGGGGGGATCTGCTCCGGCGGCGAACCGAAACGGAATCAGTTCCCTTTTGGATCCGGCGGTGCTTAAGACATCAGATAGAGAAACACTTCAGTCGCTGCTGCACAAATTCAGTGTTGAAAGCGATGGGTCTCTGAAGTACCAGCGTGCGATTGCACTACTTGAAAGTGTTCTTGCATCGATGCATCCAGACAAGACAGTGCTGCTGGCGAGCTATCCAAACCCCTTTAATCCAGAGACATGGATACCGTATCACTTAGCAAAGGCAACCGATGTGCAGATTACCATCTATAATATGCATGGCATTGTCGTCCGAAATTTAGAACTCGGACATCTCTCCGCAGGCTATTACATGAGTCGAAGTCAATCAGCCTATTGGGATGGCAAGAATGCATTCGGTGAACCTGTTGCGAGTGGAATCTATTTCTATCAACTGCAGGCGGACACTGTGTCCCCTCTGCGAAAAATGGTTATCCTCAAATAGTATCAAATGACCATAGGATAGCTGGAATGCTGATGTTTATTAGCTTCCCACTCATCGCCGATGAGTGGGTTGAGTTGGGTTCGCTGGCATTTCGTGTTCACAAAATGATGCGTTTTGCGATCAACGTTTCTAAAGTGTAGCAAAACAAGGAATGAAATAATTCTGATAATAGAGACGGATTTTGATGACGCGCACCGAAAAACACAAACCCGGATGCCAGCAATACAATTAATCACGGGCGGTTGTGCTGCTAAAACCTATTTGGCTTAGACGGAAGTCATTTTTTGACAGAGATAGGTTTCGATTTCACACCTGAAAGGCCTGTCAACCCAATAAAATCCAGCCCTCGTGAAGTCTGATTCCCGGCAACGTCCCACCCTATATCTGAAAGAGGGAGTGTATCGGTTTTTTGACATTGAATACTACAGGTTCTGGCTTTTTTGAAAAAAGGAGATTTTTCATGTTTAAGCAAATTCTTATTCTGTGCGTCTCAATTTTACTCCTCGCGATGGTTGGTTGTACCCGATCGGAAGAAAGTAGGAAAAAGAAAACAGCAGATGCTGCAGTGGCGTATGCTCAGGCGGAAGTCGAAGCAATCAAGGAAGAAACAGATACGGCGGTAGAACGCGCCAAGGCTGACTTTGAGAAGGTTAAGCAGGAAACGGATGCGGCGGTAGAACGTTTCGATACTGATTTTGAGAAGGTTAAGAAGAAGACGGACGCGGTAATAAAACGGTTCAACACTGACTTCAAGGGTGTTAAGAAAGAGACAGATACTGCCGTTGAACGGTTCAACGCTGACTTCGAGAAGATGCGGAAAGAGATGGATGCCGCCATAAAACGGCTCAATTCTGATTTTGAGAGAGCGCAGAAGGAAACCGACACCGCCATAAGACGGTTCAATTCCGATTTTGAGAAAGTGCGCAAGGAGACAGATGCGGCGATAAAACGTTCAGATTCTGACTTTCGGAAGGTTAAGCGGGATACCGATGCGGCAATAAAACGTCTCAATGCTAATTTCAAGAAGGTGCAAAAACAGACGGATGCAGCGATAAGACGTTTCAATTCCGATTTCGATGAAGTGAAAAAAGAGACAGACGCGGCGATAAAACGGTTCAACACGGATTTCAAGGGTGTTAAGAAAGAAACGGATACGACGGTAGAACGGTTCAACACAGATTTTGAAAAGGTTAAGAAGGAAACTGACGCTGCACTGGAGCGTTCTGATCGGGTTTTCAAGGAGCAACATGGTGATCAGTGAAATCCGTTCGCTTTAGCGAGACGCTGACGACCTGCTCCACACCGTCATCAAACGCATCTATGAGATGTGGGATCCTAGCTTGAGCAGTGGCATCTGAAAAAGATTGAATACACCTTTGAACACCCGGAACTGTAAGTGCCTTCGGATAGGATCGAAATCGCTGTTAAAATTCGGCACTGTTGGCTGATTTCGCTAAGACCCAGCTCCGACCCGGAGCGAATGCCCAAGGATGAATCCTTCCACATGTGAGTAATACTGCATCGTGTCAAAGCAAAGGCACTTGAGACCTTATACATCAGATCGGATTGAAAGCAGTCCGTCCGGTCTACTTATTCTCCGACTACAGCCGCAGTCGGTTAGCCTGAAGGACGTTCCTGTATCACAGGGATCACGTAACTCCGAATCATAGAGCCGTTTAACGTCTCTGTCTCTACACGAGGTTCTGGCTCTTCGCGGTGATCAAACACAACGTAGTACCCTGCCTCAGCTGTCTCGAGTCGAACGTACGTCGCGAGTTGTGACTTGCCTGCTTCATAGCGCATCTCCCCGCCCCATATCTTGGTTTCAACGATGTATTTCCTCTGATTATGGAGGATGAGGATGTCGATTCTGCCGCGTCCTGTTTGCACCTCCAAATACATCGTCCCGCCCACGATCTGGACAAACTGCTCAAGATAGGCAAAAAGGAGATGTTGACCGACGTATTCTTGCGGTGTCTCCGGCACTTGTAGGATCCTGAAACCTGCGCGTGCGATAAAGTCACGGAAGTTATCAAGGAGTGCCTCCATGTGAATCTGTCCGTCGGGTGTGAGATAATCCTGAAATCCAGCACGGGTGTCTGCGGGGAAATACTCTTGCTCTAACCCATTCACAGCCGGTTTGAACGCTTGCATGATGCAATAGTGATAGACCGGATTGACGATTTCACACAAACCGTCAGCACCTTCAGCGATTACGCCATACGTCGCGAGTTCACTGATGAGTTCATTGTAAAGGTTGAAGGCGACACCTTCATCATAAGAGGCGATTTTCATCAGGAGTGCCTCAAATCGCTGATCCCGACGGATATTCGTTACCAAATGTTCCGTATGCGTGTTCCGTTCGCGAAGGAGCTGCCCGTGTGCTTTTGAAAAGTGTTCCATTGAGATCGGTTCGCTTTTCGGGATGTCCATCTCCTCAGTAAGAATTTGAGCAAACCGGTTGACGAGCACAGGTTGTCCAGCCGTCTGTTTGTGGATAGATTCGATGACCGCGGGGACAAAGGGTTGTCCAACTTCGTCTGTATATTGTGAAAGGAGTTCGCGGACCTGTTCAAGCGTGAAGTTCGGCAATTTAAACTCGTCTTGGATATTGAAAGGCGAAATAGAGCGATCGTAGTTGAGTTGCGTAATGCTCTTGACACCAACGATACCGACACTGTGTGGACATCGATGCCTACCAGAGAGGTAGATGTGACGGAGTGAATAGAGAAAATCGCTCACAACACTTTGAGGGATACCATCAAATTCGTCAATCACAAGCACAACTTTCTGTCCCTGATAGTGCTGTTCCAGAAAGTTTGAGAGTCGTCCAAAAAACCTCCTCATGGAGAGGTGATTGGTTATTTCCGTGTTGTCCAGAAAGTCCGTTAAAGCCGCAGAAGATGAGATGCCGCGCCTTTGGAAAACTGCCTCTATTTCCTCGCGAATATCTTCGTAGACACCTTGGTAAAACTCGGAGGGTTCAAGGTTGTTAGATGCTTGGAGATCGATCTGAATGGGGAAATATGCGTCGGCTGCGAGTGTCTCTAAAGCGCGATGGAAAAACGTGGTTTTGCCGGTCTGTCGGGGTGCGAAGAGGACGACGTATCTACCCTTTTCCAGCCGATTGATGAAATCCGAAAGTTCATCTGAGCGGGCAACGACGTAGTTATCTTCAGGGTAGACAGGACCACGGGTTTCAAAACTTCGCATCTACTCACCTTCCTCTGGGGACATGTTTCTATCTCGCAATCGAACGGATTTCGCTTCAAGTTCAGATCTTTTTTGGTGAGAACAAAGAAGTGACGTTCGCATTTTTATCTCGCAATTGAGACATTTGGACTTTACACGTCTTAGCGCGCTTGTCCGTTTCCATTTAATCTATGATACTTGGATCTCGGAGAAATGTCAACCTGACCATTACTCGTACGAGGTTTATTTAGTTTTCGGTTTTCTGATTGTTTTGTGCAGAGTGTCACGACCGGGAGGTCGTTCCTACAGAAGAGAGTTCCTCAAACCGGGAGGTGTATCCGCTGATTATCGCTTGCCGTCTTTGAATCGTGCGATTGCGCCGCGCTCAGCGAACTGGGCGCGGGCATAGTGTGCGGGCATACCCGGATCTTTCCACCGACCCGCAGTCTGAATATCGACAAGGGACGCGCCAGCCTGTGCGAGGGACACAACCGACCCAATTCGCGCAGAGTGTCCCGACACTTTATCGACAAGCCCCACCCTGGAGGCACAGCTCTTGATTATCCTTCGCACCCCGTCGTGGGTTAACGCACACGGCTCACCTGTCTCTTTGTCTCGATAGAGGTTGTCCCCGCGGGCAGTCATTCTCCGAAACAGAGAGCTTTCCGTTAGTCCCGACCGTTCCAGCCATTCAGCAACGATTTTACGGGTGTCCTCGCAAAGGTAGAGGTGTTCGCCCTGACCCTCCTGATCCGTTTTGGAGAACCGGATCCGAAGGGTGCTGTCCTCGAGGTCGTCTATGCGAAGTTCCGTCACTTCAGAGATACGGAGCAGCCCGTCCGACATTACCCGCAGAATAGCAGAATTACGGATACCGCGGAGCGTGCCGTCTGATTCCTGAACCGCACAAATCCTTTCAACTTCCTTCCACGTGAGTCCGTTTCGTTGCCCACGCCCCCTATCACGCCCTTCCCTGCGGATACCCGATAGTGTCGCGGACGTAATGGGTAGGTCAACGGGTGTCCCTTTGTTGCGGTGCTTGAGTAGCCACTTCACTGCGGAGACCATGATACTGATTGTCCCTGGTGCTTTGCCCTGGTCAAACAAGTGTGTGATATACTGTGCCAGCAGTCCGTCCGAGCAGGGTCGCCCATTCAGCCATTCGTCAAAATGTTTCAGAGCCTGCCTGCGGTTTCTCACAGTGTTTTGGGCAAAGGATTTTTCTATCAACTCTGCCGTTTGCCCTGGTATTAACTCCGTAGTTGTTTCGGTAGTAGGAGCGAGATATGTTCCCTTCAATTTGTTGTTTCCCACTTTATTGATCCCCAAATATCGGTTAAAGCAGATTCTATGTTTGAAAAACAATAAAACATAGAGTTTGCATGAATTTCCATATTTAAACCTTTTATCATATTTTCGTCAGCAGGGTCAAATATAAGCATATTTTTAGGGTCTGAATATAAACATAGAACACGTTTCGGCGACAATGGTAAACAGATGAATGTGGGGTAATCAAAATCAACAGACTTAATCCTACATCATTTTGATATAAGGTGGTCTGCTACAAATTCACCTTGTTTGGTTTCATAAGTTATATGTCGATACTCAATATCAGTAGCGTTTATCCTTAACAAATCTCCTTCACCCGTGTTCCTGATAAGTGGAGGCTTATCGTTTGTAATAATAAATTGACCGTTTTTTATCTCACGTATTACTATTAGCCATGGGGCTATTGCAAGAAGGAATTGCCCTGCTATTTGATCAGTTAAATCAAACATTCCTCTTACGTCCCCTGTAGGTAAAGGGTCATCTTTCTAACACCTGAATTAAGGATATGTTCTTCTAATCCGCGTTTAAAAATATATCGTGTGAGAGGGCTTCCAGCGAATGAATAAGAAGCGAATTTGAGTAAGCCCATTAATGTATCTTCGTCTATGATTCTATCATAGCAACGCTTTGAATCTAATTTATTGAAAGCGGGGGCGAATACAGTCTTTTCAAGTCGTTGCAACTTCTTATCTTGTCTATTTGTATTATAGTGAGGCATGGCACATACATTCTTTATGTAGTGTTCCCTAATTGTCTGGTTGTGGTCTAATGATAAGATTTTCTGATTTGATTTATTTTTAACATTGGGGTTTGAGGTAAATCTTTTAAGATATAACCGAGGTAGATAATGTTGTTTGGGTTCTTCTGTAGACATTTTATGCCTCCTTTCCTAAAGGGTTTCAAGTCAAAATTGTTGTAATTCTATTATACCATATTGCCGCCCACAATTCGACACTTATCGGAAGTTATGGATGAAAACAGCCGGAATTCGCTCTCTTTTGAAGGGTAATTTAGGCTAAAAAAAGGCAGGACACAGGGCGAACTTTTTGGCGAAACAATTTGCCAGATCAATAAGTCCCAAGCCCAAACACGACACCACACTCTGTCATTTAAGGTGACAAGTTAGCCGAATCACAACAAAGGGCAGGGGAGTTCTGTCATTGGTATTTTGAGGAATTACAGGCAGTCTGTAACAACTACGGCTGTGAGATCAGGGGTGTGTGGGTCGCAGACGATATATTCATACTTGTCGCAGTTATCAACAATGAGCGAGGGATATTAGCCCGCGCACACTTAGTGACCGCAGAGCAAAGACTGAAAAACAAAGCGCAGTCGCGATACAGCAATACCGACGAAGGGACAACCCTTTTTCTCGACGTTGAACAGGATTTGAGGGCGGGCTATCCAGTAGAGCAGATCCGGGAGCGGGTCTATCGGGAATATGAGGACTGGGTTATCGAGGAAGTTATCCGGGACATTGGATTCACGTGGCTTGTCAATCCACTGGCGGATCCGACACTGCCAAAAGTCTAATCAGGATTCCACTCACACCCAAATAGGTGCGGTTATCCGACCGCGCCTTACCTTCCGAAAAACATAGACAGCACGTGCCTTCAACTAAACTTTTCCATGCGAATGTCGTCCTATATTACAGGAGAAGGAACACTATGCCGGTAAGCGTTCATGCCAACCTTGAATTGTTATCGTGGAACGAACTTGTATCGCTGAAACTGTATGTCG